GTCAACTGGAATGCCTACGCCAATACCATCAAACCCTTCCCAGTACAGAAAAAAACTTTTGGGGGAAGTGTTTCCCGCGATCAGTTCAACTTCACAGAACTTTTTGAAAATTCAGGAAACCTTACAGTCTGTCAGAAAGAGTTATGCTGTCATCTAAGCTACAAAATGTTAGAAAAAAAAGAGAACGAAGCCTACGTTCTGGGGGCTTTTACAGGACTTCATGGCCGAAGGCAAAGAGAGTACTGGCAGGTAATCTAAGCTTAAGTAAATGGAGTGTTTACATGTCTGTAAATTCCAGGTGAACTTTTAATATTTGTTATGGGAAGTCCAGTGCCTTTCTTGTCAAGGCACCAACAGGATTTCTCTCACACATACTCACACACAGGGGTTAATCAAATATGGTATTTGCTATGATATTTAAGTATTATCTGGTCTTTTTGCTTTGAGCACATTTTAAGCAGTGATTTTATCATGACAATTGTCTATGACTGATGATGAACTAGTTTGCAATTGTGGTGAACGCAAGAAGTCTTCCTTAATTAGGTTTTGCCAGCAATCTGAATATAGTCTTATTTTTACTTGTGAAACCAACAATGAATTGGAGTGCAGTTTTTACTTAGTTCCTCTTCTAATTGGATGTCCTAGTCTTTTTGTTCCCTTCAGATGACAAATTTTAAAGGTTGAGACTTTTTCTAGTATGTTGGTTATGAGTTTGCATTTTCTTAGACTCTATGCCTTACTACCTTCTAAAGAGAAGGATATGGAAAGAGGTGAGGTTCATGGGTGGTCCAAACTTTAATCATCCTTTCAGCATCAGTACTATTGTGGCCCCAAGACCCTCCAGTTCCTCAGACTTAATGCCATCATCTGCCATACCAAAGTAATGGTTTGAGTCTAATTCTGAACTGATTTATTCCTTTCAGTTCATTTGCTTTTCAGGAAATGGATCAGTTCTCAAATGGCTTAACATTTTCAAGAAAGCAGATGATTATAAAAAACATGATTCCAATCTCTTTATGGAGAAAGGAAGCTTTGCTTTGCTATGGTTAAAAAGCCAGTCAACAGTTCTGGGACAAGTAACCGAGATATTAGGTGTGTTTTATCTGCATCTGTTCCACATAGGTGTGCACAATGCTGAAATGTAAAACTGCTGATTTGAAAACTTGTGGACAGCCAGCAGAAACTGCTTCTACAAGATTTGAAATGTTCTCCCTTAGTGGTACATTTGGAACAGAGTATGTTTTTCCTGAAGTGCTACTTTCTGAAATTCGCCTGGCACCTGGAAAATTTGAGGTAAGAGGATTTCAAGAGTATTTCCATCTTCTCTTTCTCTGAAGCCAAGTCAAACAAGCTGTGACAGTTGCTATGGCGACTTTATCAATTAACATTTGCTGTGCAATGAAATTCCTTAAAACATATAACATCTCTAGACAACGGCTCTTTCCTTAGCCCTGATTTTGTGGGTTGTCAGTTTGAACTGGGTGTAGACAGCCTGTTTTTCTTGTTTGAGATGGGCTCAGCTGAGGTTGGCTAACCTCATTGTTTCTGTCACTAGGTAGTGGGTTGGTTGGGGCTGACTGGTTTGTCATGGGATTGTGTTGAACAGCTGGCATGATTAGGGCCATCTCTCCTTGTGGCCTCTCATCTTTCACCAAAGATGGACTTCTTCACATTTTAGTCAAATGAGTCCAAGAGCATAAAAAGGAAAAGTCACTTTGGACAAGTTCTTTGCAACCCTCTGTGTGCCTATTTACATGTGTCTCATCAAGCAGAGCAAGCCACAGGAGCAATGTAGAGCCTCTGAGCTGAAGTCACTATTTATTGAAGGATTTTTGTTTCTAGATTGCCATTTTCTTTGGTTGCAGTTGGAGACAAGCTGAAAGCTGGACATTTATTTTATAAATTGTAGTGCTTAACCAATTAATTCACAAAAGAAGCTACACTCAAATCAGAATTATGACTGCAGGTTTACATTAGCTAGTATAAGACATGCACACACACATGGTCATAACATACACATACTCTACCAATTAATGTCATCTCCGAACTGTGGCAACCAGTGGCAGGGTTTCAGT